ATACACACACACACACACACACACACACACACACACACACAATTATTGGAAGAAAGAGGAGAGTTGTCTAATTTATTCTCCTGAGACAGGTTGAGAAAAGAGTCTTTTGGTTAGGCAGCACCTAGGTTCCTGGTTATTGGTATTAATTTTTATATTGTTACATATGTGGAATATAATCAAATATATTATAGGTAGGAGCAGAGGGTAGAGAGGATGGGTATTCTAGACAGAAAGCCAAGTGTACAATTGCAGTGAATGGAAGACGTTTTAGATAAGAGAATGAGGTGGTGATTTTTTCTAATTTAATATATGACAATATAGTTACTGTGTAAAAAATGTATGTGAAGATGAAAATTAGGGAAAATGGTTAGGAAATGGCCAAAATCATCTGGATAAGAAGTATTGAATTTCTATTTCAGATAAATAGATTGGAATGCACAAGGGATGATAAATTGAGGAAATAGGCAGTAAATACAGACCAAGGATCCAATCATAAAACACTACTATCATTAAGGCAGAGGGGGAAAATGAGGGACCTATAAAGGAGATCCAGAAGGACAAGTGAGGGAAATGTTAATAAAATAAATAGTGTGCTCTATCTTGAAAGGTAAGCATGGTGGTCAGTACTGCCACTTGGCAAATTGTCCCTATTCTCCTCCTTCTGGATACATGGTAGTATTATATTCCCCTTGTACCTTAAAGTTGGGCAGAAACAAATGACTCATTTGGGTTAATCAAATACGAGTGTAAATAAATGGCACATGTTAATTCTAAGGGACAGAGGAAGACTTTCAGAACCAGTGCATGATATGCCATGTTGCCTTTCCTCATCATAGTGATACACATTATTCCAGATGGTTTTGGATCCATCATTCTATGTTCCTGCTCCTGATTGAGGTTGACATAGAAGCAAGTTTCTCCCCAAATCTCAGATAAACAATGTGAATTAGAAATGAACTTTTGTTGCTTTAAGGCTCTGAGGTTTTAGAAATGCTTCTTATTGCATACTCATCTAACACATCTTGGCTGATATATCAAAGGTTCAAAGAGTTTCAAAAAGGTGAGAATGATCACACTGTATGAAAGGACATAAATGTTGAAAAGGAGGTGGGAAAGATAGGTCAGTAGAGAGATATGAATGGATATAATGTATGAAGAAGAATTTGGAGAGAATAGAGCAATGGTAGAGAACAGATGGAAGAGAGACATTCTTGTACTAAATGAGTAAAGGGGAACAGATTGAAGAGGACCTAGGAGTTCACACAATTGTGGAAAGAATAGAACAGAGTAGTTGTAAACAGAAGAGAGATCATGGAAGGAGGTGGATGGATGGTTGAAACGATGAGGAAGAAATGTGGATGGATAAATCAAGAGAAAGCAAATGGAAGAGAACATAGAGAAGATACCAATGGGCAATAAAGAAACTGAACACATTAGAGATGGAGAATATTAAAGGAGGAAGAATAGTGAATGAATAAAGAAAACAGGATAGAGGCAAAACTGAATAATGAAAGAGAAGATAGAAGATATATTTCGGTTCTGGAGTTTCCAGAAAGTGAGGAGAGGATTAGAATATTGAATTTAAAAAAAAAAAATTAAAATATTTTTTTAGTTGTTGATAGACATTTATTTATTTGTTTGCAGTGCTGAGAATCCAACCCAGTGCCTCACACACACCAGGCAAGTGTGCTACCACTGAGCCCCAGCCCCAGCCCCTAGAATATTGAAATTTGAAGAAAAAAAGATGAAGATTTAGATCAAGGAGGGCAGAGGATGAATGAAGCAGAGAAATTGATTAGTCACCTGAAAATAGAGTTGAATGAATATCAAGATGATAATCACTGAGCCCTCCATTTTAGTCTGAATTGGACAAGACACTGAGATTATATGATCCGAGAATCTTTATGGAATGCCTTTGTACTTATTTTGAAGTACAGAATAGAGGATGTACAGAAGTACAGAAGCAAGACAAAACCATTGTTTGTCCTACACAGTAGAGAGTTCACCATGGATCTAGGAAGGTGACTCTGGAGGGCAATCTAGGCTCAAAACTGCAAGATAAAAGCATGGCTCTTTTTATGGCCCCACAATTGATTCATCTAATGACCTTTAGCAACTCCTGGTCTTATTTCTCCAGTCCTTCATTCTGATAATGTTTGTAGCTGCCTTCTTAAACGCACATGACAAGCACAAATTGGATAAGGTCTGCAGGATGCTTAGAGTTTTTTGGAAAGTATTATTCTGCAGCATCCATATTATCTGGATTTTTATGGGAAAGCTACAGAAGGACAACTACCTAGAAAAATCTAGTGAAGTGTTACATGGATATGTAACTAGGACAGTTGAGAAAGAAGCTTTGCCTTGTCTCATCTTTGGACCTCAGGACAACCATAAAAATGCAGGCCAAAGCTCATTACTTGCTGCTAATTTCATCATCACACATAATAAAATGATTAACAGAACCCAATCCAAGATCCATACACAAATTTCTAATTTCTATTACTCAACTGTGAACATATATGGAACTTTATTAATGACATCATATTTAGTGATAAGTATATGGATGAACATGTTAATAATATGATTCTTTATACATATTACATATAAATTCTGCACAATACATAGTAGAATACAAAAAGTCCCACTAGCTATCTGAATAGCTAATAGATAAAAAATGGACTGACTTGAATCATTTATTTGATACATTTATAAGTACTTAACATGTTTAATGCTTTGGGATATGTGTATAGCTACAAAGACAAATAAGACACAGGTCATACTCTTAATGAACTTATACTCCAGTAGTTAAAGAGACAAGTGCACATTTAGTAGCACTATAATAAAAAAAAAAAACACTTAATATAGAGAAGTCCAAAATGTGATAGTTACAGGATCAGAAAGAAAGACATTTACATGGGAGCATCAAAGAAAACTGCAAAACAGGCAATCCATATCTTATCTCTTTAATACTGAAGGGAATGTAGTTAACTATCAAAGAGATGAAGAGCACAACTGAGGTATAGGAGGATATTCTAGGCAGAGGAAA